ACCCTTTAAATGTCCCACCTGCCGCCTGCGCCTGTGATACGAGCACTAAATCCATCAAACTTTGACGTTTGAGCCCAACGAGGAAATGCGGATGTGAGTGGCGTCACGTACATAGGGAAAGTATTGACCTATCAATCCTCCAACCACGGAAAAGTGTGCCGCCCTCCGATTGATTGGTGAATTTAGGCTTTTATAGTGGCCCTGTTGGTAAGGTAAATACAAATGGCAACCAAGGTCTACACATGATGTAGATTTTCTAATTTTTAACTTTTGAAACAAAAACCAAAGAAACTGTATGATGGGTATTTTAGTCGAGAGTAACTTTTTTAACCAATCATTACATCCCGGATAATACGAAATCCCCTTGATCGGTATTGTCTACATTGGTTCATGAGATCCAGAGGCAGTATTTCTGTTGGATACAATTTAAATATTAATATGTAAGTTTTATCTAATAGGTTACATTTAAACGTTTTAAAGCTGTACTATTCATCTACAAGTGTACTTTTTACAACTTGTTATTTATGTACAAAAAAGAAAAAAGGTTCATGAAAGCAGCCTCATGAAATATCCAATGCAGATGGACCGATCAGAAAACCGTGTGGACATGCCAATACTCTCCGCCTGTATAGGTAATCTAGCGTTACGGTACGGAGACTACGGTAAGAGAAAGACGTACGTATAAAACTTGGCAACGCTTAAGTCAGTGCTCCGCCCGCTCCGCAGTGCAGTGCGCGGGTTTACTAGTTCTCAACATTTATGAATGTTGGAGCGTGATTAAAGCATGACGCAATTTAGACAAACAAACAACCGACCAATCAACCGGATAAATATGTGCATATGATCATGTGGCCGTAATATTTGAAGCTGCACTGTTATCGTGCACCGACTCACTGACACTTTAGTTGGCTCTGCGCTCACAAGTCACAGCACGCATCCGGAGCGGAGGATGAGGGGACAGTGGCGCGTCGTGCTTTGCGATATATCGATTGATCTGCCATTTAAACCTGTGGAGAAGGATCGATAGACAGGATGTTCGCAACGGACACCTTCATAATCGATTCTTTATCACAGCTTCAAATGGGAAAATTTCGATATCGATCAATCTCGCCTCGCCACTGGAGGGGGAGGCTGAGGTAGAAAGGGGGCAGGGCTAGATAAGATGAATCCACTGAGGATTAATTTTTTCCACCATTTTTCCTCGTCAATACTAGATTAAAGAAGTTCTCAACTATGAGTAATATATTGAAAAATAAACTGGTCAGTTTTACATTAACAGAGTCCGATGAAACGTGCCTCTGTATTTAAGGTGAAAAATCAAGTCGTTCAGGATAGCGAAAAAACTGGTTTCGGGGTCAAAAATATCGTATTTCAGTGTGTAATGTAAAATTAAACACTTAAGAACATTGGTTCAAAGTTTATGCCATGATTTGCCTGATTAAAAATGGTTTAAGCGTTTGAAGTGAATCTTTCTAAAACGGACAAGAGTTCTGACCTAACGTAACAGAGGATTTTCGAATTTTTAGGTCCTTAAATTGTGAATGCCCGACTGAAGGAACAACTTTTGGGTCTTCTTTGCTCATAATGATACAAAATTAACCCGCCCTGTGAGCCGTGGTATAGATATCTCATTGAACTCCCCATCTTGAGGTACATTTTGCCCGACTCCTGTCACAATTATAAGATTTTGATGGTTGGATTTCGCAAATTAGCAAAAAAGAATAAGATCATCCTAAACTTCAAGTTTTTATGTCTAATTTTAACAAAAATATCATCCTGGGAATAACACCGCCGATTGCATTGCCTTTTTTTTTTTTTTGTTGTTTATTTGCCGCATAAAACTTTAGTACAATAAATTCTGTTCATACAGAAAACATAATTGATAATAAAAAAAAAAGTAAAGACATAGGGACTGAGGCCTCAAAAGAAAAAATAGAAAAGAACAAGAGAATAGAGATATGAGGCTAGTTTTTAAGGGCAGAACTTCCTTGAAGAGGAAGGTTTAAGATCCGTTTGCGGCCCCGGAAACTGCCGTCTGGCATACATCGGAGGGGGTTGGTTGGTCGAGAGTCTTCCTCTTGGCGGTCAAGGATGCTTTCAGGAAAGTTCCAATAGATGACCAGTTTTCTTTGGAGCTGGTGATTTGCTTCTGGAAAGAAACTACAGTGAAACGCTCGCCTAACTTGTCCTCCAGTTCCTTTCGGTCTGTTGAAAATTGAGGACAATTGAAGATAGTGTGTTCAGGGGAGTCGAAAATCCCTGGGCAGTGGGGGCAAGAGTCGGTGGTAGAAACACCTATACGGTGGAGGAACCCATTGAAGACTCCGTGACCTGAGAGTGCCTGTGTGATATAGAAATTTGGTTCTCCATGTTCTCTAGTGAGCCAGCTTTCAGGATCTGTTATAAGTTGCTTAAGCCAGTTGTCTTTCTCAGGTGTCGCGTTCCAGGATTCTATCCACTTTTGTCGAGTTTCAGCTTTAATAACTGCTTTATCTTCCTCCTTGCTCATCAGCCTGACTTTTTCTTCTATAAGAAATTCCATAGGGGGGATACCGCTGATAATGTCTAGGGCACTTGAGGAAACAGTCCTGTATGCCATACAAAGACGAGCTTTGATGGGGCGGATTGCTCTTGTAAGTGCCGATTGCATTGCCTTATACTACACCCTAGTATCTCATGTAAGTGAGACAATAACCCACGGTTGATTTGAGGCTTCAAAACAACAAGCAAGTTCAAAAGAATGAATCTGAATTTGTCACATTTATTTGATCCACATTGTGAGGTTTCTAGTGAGGCAAATCATGTGATTTTAAAGTCCTGAGAGGATCACATCAGTATCAGCTGTACGATTTCGGTCGGGTCGGTCGTCCATACGCGACTTAAATCATAAGGGCAAGAAAGAAAGAGGGTGATAGGAGTTGTAACATTGCAAATTGAGATACATGGTTTCGTAATTTCACCTTCACCATCGAATCATTACCCGTTTCCCAAGGTGTCGCAGCCGATGGATGCGCGAGAGGAGGCGAAGTTCATTACAGCGCCTGGATGCAACTATACGTGCTCCATGGATGTGCGTGTTGCATGAAAAAAAATTGAAGGCGCCCTGGTTATTCTCGCTTGCACCAAAATGCGCGCAATGCGCATGTTGCGCCGCGCGTCGCGCCGGTGTTTCATAACCATAATGGTGGCGAAATTGTCACATCGAGGACCTCCAATACACTGAATTTTTCGGTTTGAAAATTCTCACTTCTTTTTAATGTTTTCATGAAAATACTGCTTTACTTTTTTGCGGTGAATTTTTAGAATATATCGTCAAAGAAAGAATAAAGAGGAACAATATATTGAGGAAAAAACGATGACTAGGCTCTCATCGGAGAGTTACGCGTGACGAAAGATTCGTAAAGTTAGAAATCAAAATATGTGTGGTTTGGTAAGTTCACCACCACCGAGTTATTCTCCGTTTTCCGGAGTGTTGCAGCCAATAAATGTGCGAAAAGAGCCAAGTACAAGGAGGAGTGCGCTTAGCATGTATGGCAATTGTCAACATCGCTCAACGTTGCTGAAGTTTGAAGATCCTCCATAATTTTAAGATATTACAGATTTCATCATTAACCTTCAGTTAATTCTCTTGTCCAGCAGGTAACGCGGTACAGCTGTTTTTGCAGTCGTAAATTAGTTCCGCAGCTTTGATGAATCCAAACCTGCAGCGAATGCAAGTTCCGTTTACTCAAATGAACGGGAAAACCAATAAATTAATGTTACAACCCATTGCTGCGCCAATAAATAGCTTTAAATTGCAACGTTCCATTTTGTGAATGAATGCATCCTCAATTCACATCCACTATGAACGCAGCTAATTTTAGTTTCAGTCAGGAAGCGAATGAGCAGTGCTCGATTGCCTCGATCGGAAATATATCTCTTAAATCTTTAATCGTAAGTAGTTAAATACGGGAGGTCGAATAAAGTTGAGTTTTCTATCAGCTTTTTACGACCGTTGTCGAACTAATTTTTTTTTGTAGAGATAATGTTCTTTTTATGGGAGAACAGTTTGCAAATGACCGCACTGCTATGCGAAGTACCAGATTGAGAAGCGCCTCAATTCAGTCTTTCTATATTTTAGTTGAATGGTTATTCATTTTCATAGAAGCATCGTATGCAAGAATCAAAATTTGTATAGGTACTAGATTCGGCTTGGATATCAAGCGATTCATTAAAATTTAGCGAATAAGTGTGGCTATTTGAAATTTGCTAATATAATATGTATGAAGTATGGGCGTAGCTGAACATTTTTTCTGGAGGGAGGGGGGGTTGTCAAATGTCCATCATTTTCTTTTGGGAAGTTAATGGAATCGCTGCATATGATCATTCCTTTTTGGGGGAAGGGGGTCGGGGTGGGAAAAATTCTATGGGGGGGGGGACACCCCCACCTAGCCATGCACATAATTAGCGCGGAGCGCAGTTCGTCAGATAAAGAATACATGCACTGATAACGTTTATAGTACGTAACTGCGCTTTGTTCCTTGCATCAAAAGGACTTATTCTTATCATAGGCATTATTATGATTATTATTAGCATGCAATTCTGCCGCTCAGGATGAAAACATCTGCATCACTATCATTAACTTGCTGCCCGATACAAATTAGACGCACATATGGAGAGGCTATTTGATGGATCTGTTTGCGAATACACCATTGTCTTCACTCAAAACGCAGCAAACGAAATGTCCAGGCTTTTTTCAGAAAAATATTTACACATTTTTTCAGTACTTTCAATGCAATATATTACTCTAGTCCGGTGGTTTCTTGAAAATTTCACGATTAAACCATCTTTGGTGCGATCAACTTCGACTAAACCAACATTACCAAATGACGCGATTTGCTTGAAATTTCAGTGAACGGCAATAAATTATTATACATGGATTCAACAAAATTTTAAGTGATTTGATGTGAGAGGTGGTACTAATTCAAAATTCACTGAATCTTTCAATTTCTATTTTTCAGGAGGCAAGTGTCTTTCAGTTTATTTGCAAAAGTGATTGTTCTCTGGAGAGAATGTAATGTGCGTACGCTAGAAACATGCTATTGCTCGTCTTAACAAAATTCACAAAGAATCGGACAAATTTAATCTCGTGAGTAAGTTTCAATTTTTAATGCATATAAAAAAAGTTTTGCGTCATCCAATTCGATTTACTTTTTACTTATGATCACTACCACACTGTGTGAGAATGTGTCCAAATTGATGTACGTGCGCAATGTTTTTTTTTATGGGAGGCAAATACTTACCTCATAGTTTTTTTTCTTTTTCAAGAAAAAACATGTGTCGCATGTAGCAAAATGATGATTAAAGCCCTGGCGTATGCTTTCTAAAACCAATTTTGATGACAATAGTTCGTGATTTGCTTGACATTTCAGTGAGCCGCAACACGTTTTCAAAGATATGGATTTCAGAACATTTTAACGAAGGCCAGACATCCTTGAGATGTCGCCCTTTGAGAGAAAAAGTAATTAAAGGTTACTTACCCGCGTGTAACTATTAAAGAGCCTTGTTAAAAATGGGTCGAAATTCGCCCCTTTTTAGGCCCTCGATTTTGCCAACGGGACTTGCGCCAAATTGTTGCATATGATGCCCCAAGTCTCGGATAAAAATTTCAGCTTGAGTTGAAAAGCGGTTTCGGAGATACGGGGGGGGTGAAGTGGGGGAGTTGAGCGGCTGGCGTGCGCTCTTTCCGCGGCTGTTCCTCGCCAAATCTTCGTTTTGATGTCACCCATTACATGTTTTTCTATGTAATTTTTTGCGTACTTTCCATTTCTGACCTTAAAAATTACTTACAACCACTTTTCAAGGCGCTAGGGGGTGAAAATAGGGGTTGAACGGCTGGCGGCGCGCTCTTCCGCGGCTGTTCCTCGCCAAATCATCGTTTA